ATAGTGGTAGAGGGTGGCAGTGGTTGTGATGGTAGTAGAGGGTGCCTGATTCAGTGATTCTACCAACTCCTCCAATGTTGCTGGAGTTATATAGGGCTACAGAAAACACCACCGCCTCAGCTGCTGCTTCACCACCATTAAGGACGGCTTACTCTCAGTGGCCCATATACACCCAACAACAATACAACACCTCTCATGACATACATGACTTATTTTATTCATTCTAGAGTATATTCCATGTTTCAGTATTATTAACCCTTAAACAGTCCAAACAAATCGACGTTCAAATTCGTAGTGCTACAAAAGTAGATCTACTTTTTTTTTACATATTTTCAAATATAACAAAAAAAAGTAGATAAAAGTTTTTTTTATACGTTTTCAAATGTAAAACAAAAAAGAAGATTACATTTTTTTACATACTTTCAGATGTTGAAAAAACGTATATATACGTTCAGACCATTTAAGGGTTAATATTGTTTATTATGTCATATAAGTTGATTTATGATAGATAAATAAGCCGTAGAGTTGATATTAGTGTCATATTCTCCAACAATAAACTCACCTCCCCTCTCTCTGCCCCATCTGCCATACACCAATAAAAGTCTTCAATAAAAGGTAAGTGTGATGTTAAATGTTCATTTATACATTTTATTAGTGCTTTACATTTATTTGGCATTCTTTTCTGCATGTAAATCTATATTTAAGCTAGGGAAGTGACTCCTGAAGTGACAGAGTCCTTATGGAGGGGAATTCCCCTTCCAAACAATAACCTCTCTTCCCTCTCTCCTCCTCCCTGTCTTCCATTCATCAACAACAGCCTTCAATAAAGGTAACTGTCATGTTGAATGTTCATTCTTTTGTGCATGTAAATCTATCTTTAAGGTAAAATAAATTGTTGATACTTTTGGGTGTCTGGAACGAATTAATTGGATTTACATTATTTCTTATGGGGAAAATGGATTCACAAATCGTCAATTTTGATAATACTCACGCTCTCTGGAACAGATTAATTACGAAAAACGAGGGTCCACTGTACTTGCATTAGCCCACCTTTGTGCCAATAGTTGCTTATATCACACCCTAACTTCCTCCTCCCTTAGTTCATACACTTTCACCTCTCTCTTACTTGCTGTTGTATTTTCTTTATGTCCCATCTACCTCTTACTCTAACTGTAGCTACAACTAAATAATGATCCGATATATCCATTGCCCCTCTGTAAACATGTACATCCTGAAGCCTACCCATCAACCTTTTATCCACCAATACATAATCTAACAAACTACTTTCATTATGTGCAATATCATGCATTGTACACTTATTTATCCTCTTTTTCATAAAATATGTATTACTTATTATCAAACCTCTTTCTACATATTGCTCAATTAAAGGCTCCCCATTTTCATTTACCCCTGGCACCCCAAATTTACCTACTACTCCCTCCACAACATTTGTACCCACTTTAGTATTGAGATCCCCAACCACAAGTACTCTCTCACTTGGTTCAAAACTCCCCATGCACTCACTCAACATTTCCCAAAATCTCTCTCTCTCTCCTCACACTTCTCTCTTCTCCGGGTGCATAAACACATACTATAACCCAAATTCCACATCCAACCCTTATTTTACACCACATAATCCTTGCATTTACACATTTATATTCCCTCTTTTCCTGCCATAACTTATCCTTCAACATTATTGCTACTCCTTCTTTAGTTCTAACTCTATTTGAAACCCCTGACCTAATCCCATTTATTTCTCCCCACTGAAACTCTCCTTCCCCCTTCAGCTTTGTTTCACTTAAAGCCAGGACATCCAGCTTCTTCTCATTCGTAACATCCACAATAATCTCTTTCTTATCATTCGCACTACATCCACACACATTCAGACATCCCACTTTGACAGTTTTCTTCTTTTTCTTTTTAGTAAGCTATACAAGGAAAAGGGGTTACTAGCCCATTGTTCCCATACATGTACATGTACTTGTAGTAAATAAAGATACAGTGGAACCTTGACTTGTGAGTTTAATCCATTCCAAGAGCTAGCTCGTAACTCAGTTTACTCATATATCAAATTAATTTTCCTCATTTAAATTAATCGAAAAGCCATTAATTCATTCCTGCACTCTGGAGAGATGAGAAAAAATACTTGAATATGATGCTATTATCAACTGTACAGCTTATTTATCTATCACAATTCATCTAATATGACATAAAAAATAATATAATTAACACAGAAACATGATATACACTCTAGAATGAACAAAATAGGCCATAATATGGTGGCAGAGGCAGCGGCGGAAGTGTCCGCCATTTCCTGTGTGTATATACTGAGAGTATCTTCCCATGCTCTTATTGTAAGAGAAAACGGAGTATTTTTGAGGCTAACTGCAGTAGATCACTAGTATTCTAAGGAAAACACTGAATACTGTATATGTACTTACACACTGAACATAGCTGATACAATTTGTTTTAATCACTGAACATAACTGATATGGTATCTCCTGCGAGCTGCTTCTCTCCCAAACACATCAGCAGCAGCTTCTCCATCTTTTCATGGACAGAGGTCCGCCTTCATCGACTCCTGCTGCTTTAGTATCGTACATATAGTAGATGTACTGCGCTGGTATTGTCTGTCTAAATCCACAACTTGTGCACCTTGCTTATGTTTATCTATGATTTCATGCATTAATTCCATGGAAATCATTGTCTTTTTCTTCTCAGCACTGTCCCTTGCACTTATTTTCTTAGGACCCATGGTTAGAAAAGCGAAATTTGGCCAAATGACTGTAAAAATTGTAAGCAAAGCAGGCGAGAACTGCTTCAACAGTGATGTAAACGTGTACTGCCAACTACCGGCAGCATTCTGAATTATTATTATGTATGTATTATGTACATTATTATTGTTATTATTAATTTAGTGAACTGAAGCTCTATCATTATTGTAATTATAATAATAATAATTATTATTATTATTGATAATAATTTAGGGAACTGAAGCTCTATCATTATTATAATAATTATTATTATTATTATTATTATTATTATTATTATTATTATTATTATTATTATTATTGTTATTATTATTATTATTATTAATTTAGGGAACTAGAGCACATATCCAATTCCCTAGATCAAGAGACCCTCACCAGAGTCAAGGAACCTTGACACCAGTGAGGGGCTCTTGATCTAGGGAATTGGATATGTGCTCAAATTCTCTGAATTAATAATAATAATAATAATAATAACAATAAAATATAAATAATTATAATAACGATAGAGCTTCAGTTCCCTAAATTAATAATAATAATACATTATTAAAACAACGAGAGCTTCAGAATGAAGCCAACTCAGTGTACTGTTTACCCAGCTGTGGGAGCATTCTCTCCTGCTTTGCTTACATTTTTACGGTCATTTGGCCAAATTTCGCTTTTCTAACCATGGGTCCTAAGAAAGTAAGTGTAAATGACAGTGCTGATAAGAAAAAGAGAATGATTTCCATGGAATTAAAGCATGAAATCATAGATAAACAAGAGAGGTGTCCAGGTTTTGGGTTGAGGGGGAAGTAGGGGGGAGCTGACTCGTAACTCAAATGTTGGCTCGTAACTCAGAGAAAAAAATCGACCAATCGACAGCTCATATCTCAAAAAGCTCATATGTTGGGACACTCATAAGTCAAGGTTCCACTGTATTATTAAATGCACTGCATACCATTGGCTTTCACTTGTGCCTACCATGTTTTATAATATGTAAAGTACATCATTTCTGTACCACATAAGGAAATTTAAATTTTTATTTTAACTCTCAGAAAATACAATGTAAATTATGAATGATAGCAAAAATGGAGAAATTTTTGGTTTGCAACAAATTTCTAATATAAATTAAAAAAAAAAAAAAATTTATTTTATTAAATGTTTCAAGAAAACTTGTATTATTATTATTATTAACACACTGGCCGATTCCCACCAAGGCAGGGTGGCCCGAAAAAGAAAAACTTGCACCATCATTCACTCCATCACTGTCTTGCCAGAAGGGTGCTTTACACTACAGTTTTTAAACTGCAACATTAACACCCCTCCTTCAGAGTGCAGGCACTGTACTTCCCATCTCCAGGACTCAAGTCTGGCCTGCCGGTTTCCCTGAATCTCTTCATAAATGTTACTTTGCTCACACTCCAACAGCACGTCAAATATTAAAAACCATTTGTCTCCATTCACTCCTATCAAACACGCTCACGCATGCCTGCTGGAAGTCCAAGCCCCTCGCACACGAAACCTCCTTTACCCCCTCCCTCCAACCTTTCCTAGGCCGACCCCTACCCCGCCTTCCTTCCACTACAGACTGATATACTCTTGAAGTCATTCTGTTTCGCTCCATTCTCTCTACATGTCCGAACCACCTCAACAACCCTTCCTCAGCCCTCTGGACAACAGTTTTGGCAATCCCGCACCTCCTCCTAACTTCCAAACTACGAATTCTCTGCATTATATTCACACCACACATTGCCCTCAGACATGACATCTCCACTGCCTCCAGCCTTCTCCTCGCTGCAACATTCATCACCCATGCTTCACACCCATACAGGAGCGTTGGTAAAACTATACTCTCATATATTCCCCTCTTTGCTTCCAAGGACAAAGTTCTTTGTCTCCACAGACTCCTAAGTGCACCGCTCATCCTTTTCCCCTCATCAATTCTATGATTCACCTCATCTTTCATAGACCCATCCGCTGACACGTCCACTCCCAAATATCTGAATATATTCACCTCCTCCATACTCTCTTCCACCAATCTGATATCCAATCTTTCATCACCTAATCTTTTTGTTATCCTTATAACTTGTAATTTTATTTAATCTTCCATGTTATAGAGAATGTTTTGGGAAATTTTTAACCCTCTTCATTCCAAAAATTTAAGAATAAGAAAGACTTCCAATTTCTATTATTATGACCTCTTGTTATAATACTGTTTTGCTCAGAAAATATATTTAAAGAGAAACTTACACTGAACACATAATCTGGGCAAAATCTTGGTTGCTCGAGCACTCGTCCATTCTGTACCATTTCCACCACCTCTGCATTCTTCATCCTGCCATATGGCATCTTCCCACATGTGAACACCTCCCACATCAGCACACCAAATGCCCACACATCCGATTTTGAGGAAAATCTCATGAAGTTGAGTACTTCAGGAGCTGCCCATTTGATGGGAAACTTGGCACCACCAGAACCTGTGTATTCATCATCCACAACATATCTGCAAGAATTCATCAACATGAACACAAACAAATTAATTATAGTTTCATTAACAATATTATTTCTTATCCATTTATAGAAGACAGACCATTAACAAATTATATTTTGCATGTATAAATGTACAATCAACTCCCTCTTACTGATCTCAGTAAAAGCAATTTACATCATAAGGTGTTTACTTATTTAGTCTTTAACCATTAATGTTTACTGCTAGTTCTGTTATTATAATATTTAATACCTGTCACTGTCTGACAACTATGATAATGCCCAGGTCATCTGTTGTAATAACTCATATTACTTTATCCCTTTACTTTTTTTATAATAATGTACAATAGGTGTAACTTTAACAATGAGCAGAGGGGCAGGGAATGCCTGGTACTGACTAACACTCACTGCTTGCATAACGAGCGGTGAGTATAGCTATGATTTAGCAACCCCATTCATGCTGACATAGAAACAGACAGCATTTTGTCATCAGAGGGGGGAAGGATGTAAGCAGCTGTTTTATCTTCATTAATTATTATTATTATTATAATCAAAAAGAAGCGCTAAGCCACAAGGGCTATACAGCTATCTTCATTAATAAAAGTCTCAGGTGCAAACATTTTATTACATAATTTCATTTTTATGACAGTATTTCTAAACATTGCACATTGTCTTATTTGCTGCAGCTTATGTCAATTGTGTGGAATTTTGTTTTCTAACTATATTGCAGAGTGCAGGCACTAAGTTTCCCACTTCCAGAACTCACATCTGGCTAACGGGTTTCTGTGAATCCTGAATCCCTTCATAAATGTTACCTTCTTCACACTCCAACAGTATGTCAAATAATTATGTCATAGAGGACTTTGTTTCTGCACCTCATGTTTTAACATAAGGTGTCAGCACTATGTCATGTGTGAGTCTTTTGTGGCCTGCTCTTGGGACATAACTACTGTGGAAAGGTCTGGGACTCATTTTTTTATGCATATGTCCTCTGTAATTTAATGGGAATCAAAGTTTCACACTATTTTATACATAAAATATACACTCAAGCATTTGAATTTCACTCTTTGCCATCCTTAAATTTAGAGAATTTGAAGCTACACTGCAGAGAGTTTAAGAAATTATCAGAGTCATTCCAGGATGCTGGGAATAGGTTCTACAACTCTGGTCATAATGTACCTGCACATGCTCACCATTCCTAGAATCTTGGCCAAGTTACACCAGTGTTGAAAATTTAAAGTCAACTGGATGAGGCCTTGTACTATAAATGAAATAAAAGTGAAAGTTTGGAAGAAGAATAGGAAAAAAATGTGTCACCCACTTCAAGGTCCTGTAAACTTTGCTTGGTTCTTCTTTCAACAAACCGGCCATATCCCACTGAGGCAAGGTGGCCCAAAAGGAAAAACAAGTTTTACTTGGTTCTATTATTAATTCATGTGTAAAACAACCCTTTCAAATAACTTCTTTCTATATATCATAATGTGTTCTGTTTTATATTTTAGATGTTAGTTATTACACTGCATTGTTCTTTAAAATGTCTTTAACTTTATTTTAACATCATTCACCTACATGAAACTCTTAATTCAAAAGTATGTTTTGGCATTAGATAAATATTTCTCTAAATTCATACAAATTACTGTTTTAGTACTGTATAAGTTATGTATATTTCTTACCGAGCAAGACCAAAATCTCCAACTTTGATTTCATTCTGTGCTCCAACAAGACAATTTCTCGCTGCTAAATCACGGTGGATAAATTTCTGCTTCTCTAGATATGCCATACCAGCACACACCTGTAATGTGAAAATGAAATCTTTGTTATGTTTGTAAAAAATACTTTTTCATATCCTTTTATTTAATAAATGTATGGAAGAGGGTAAGGTACCAAGGGATTGGCAGAAAACATGCATAGTTCTTTTGTATAAAGGCAAAGGGGACAAAAGAGAGTGCAAAAATTATAGGGAAACAAGTCTGTTGAGTATACCCAGTAAAGTGTATGGTAGAGTTATTGAAAGAATTGAGAGTAAGATGGAAAGCAGGACTGCAGATGAACAAGGAGGCTTTATGGAAGGTAAAGGGGGTGTAGACCAAGTGTTTACAGTGAAACATATAGGTTAACAGTACTTACCTAAGGGTAAAAGGTCTTTGTGGCATTTATGGATTTGGAAAAAGGCATATGACAGGGTGGATAGGATGGCAATATGGCAGATGTTGCAAATGTATGGAATAGGAGGTAGGTTACTGAAAACGGTGAAGAGTTTTTACGAGGATAGTGAGGCTCAGGTTAGAGTACGTAGGAAAGAGGGAGATTATTTCCCAGTAAAAATAGGCCTTAGACAAGAATGTGTGATGTCACCATAGTTGTTCAATATATTTATAGATGGGGTTGTAAGAGAGGTGAATGCTTGAGTGTTGGCAAGACGTGTGGGGTTAAAGGATAAAGAATCTAACACAAAGTGGGAGTTGTCACAGTTGCTCTTTGCTGATGAGACTGTGCTTTTGGGAGATTCTGAAGAGAAATTGCAGAGGCTGGTGGATGAGTTTAGTAGGGTATGTAAAAGAAGAAAATTAAAAGTGAATTTAGGAAAGAGTAAGGTGATGAGGATAACAAAAAAACTAGGTAGCGATAGATTGGATATCACATTGGAGAGAGAGAGTATGGAGAAGGTGAATGTATTCAGATATTTAGGAGTGGATGTGTCAACAGATGGGTCTATGAAAGATGAGGTGAATCATAAAATTGATGAGGGGGAAAAAGGCGAGTGGTGCACTTTAGGAGTCTGAGGAGACAAAGAACTTTGTCCATAGATGCAAAGAGGGGAATGTATGAGAGTATAGTTATACCAATGCTCTTATATGGTTGTGAAGCATGGGTGGTGAATGTTGCAACAAGGAGAAGGCTGGATGCAGTGAAGATGTCATGTCTGAGGGCAATGTGTGGTGTAAATATAATGCAGAGAATTCGTAGTATGGATATTGGGAGAGGGTGCAGGATTACCAAAACTATTATCCAGAGGGCTAAGGAGGAGTTGTTGAGGTGATTCAGACATGTAAGGATTCTGGAATGAAACAGAATGACTTCGAGTGTATAAATCTGTAGTGGAGGGAAGGCAGGGTAGGAGTCAGCCTAGGAAAGGTTGGAGGGAGGGGGTAAAGAAGGTTTTGTGTGTGAGGGGCTTGGACTTCCAGCAAGCATGCATGAGCATGTTAGACAGGAGCGACTGGAGACAAGTGGTTTTTAGGAGTTGACATACTGTTGGAGTGTGACCAAGGTAACATTTATGAAGGGATTCAGGGAAACCGGCAGGCCGGACTTGAGACCTGAGATGGGAAGTACAGTGCCTGCACTCTGAAGGAGGGGTGCTAATGGTGCAGTTTTATAACTGTAGTGTAAGCATGCCTTTGGCAAGAGAGTAATGGGGTGAATAATGAAAGTTTTTCTTTTTCTGGGCACCCTGCCTTGGTGGGAGATGGCCAATGTGTTTATAAGAAAAAAAACCTCTAACTCTCATAAACTACATGCTTGCACTGTATGAAACAATAAATATGATTAATCACAACCTCACTTATATTACTTAAGACAAATAAATTTTTATATACCAATTGACAAAAACTGTATTTTAACCCTTTCTCTGATGAGACCTCTGATCACAAGCCTGCTCTCAGTGTCGAAAAAATATCTGAAAAAAAAAAAAAAATTCTTACCAAAATCTTAAGAATACTTTTTTGATTGTTTTAAAAGAAAAAAAATGTTTGCAATTAGTACTTACCAAGATATAGAGGCATGACGTTGACAAAGTGAACCACTTATGGCAACATCGGCGACTGCCACTCACTCGGTAATATTATTTTTACTTTTATACTATTTTTTTCTTTTCTTTTCTAATATTTTATTTTTTCAAGTAACTTTTGTGGCCTGTGAGACCAATATAATGCATAATGTATATATATCCACTCATTGTATGCAACACAATAAATGCACAAACATTATCATTATATTGTTTACAAAACCTGTTTACATAAACCCATGTTGCCTTCCCCACCCACACTGTCTTCCCCACCACCCACACCGTCTTCCCCACTACTCAGACTGCCTTCCCCACCCATACCGTCTTCCCACCACTCACACTGTCTTCCCCACTACCCATGCTGCCTTCCCCACACCCACACTGTCTTCCCAACTACCCATGCTGGAAATAAGCCACTCTGACTTTTTTTGGTTACCCTAGGTTCTCTACACATGTTGTTATGTACAATAATCTATGTAACTGTATTCATGTATACAGTGGACCCTCATTTTTTGGTAATTAATCCGTTCCAGAGAGCGTGACTAATGGCAAAATTGACGATTTGTGAAACCATTTTCCACATAAGATATAATGTAAATCCAATTAATCTGTTCCGGACACCCAAAAGTATTAACCCTTTCAGGGTCCATGCCGTACTTCTATGGCTTTGAGTTGTGGGTCCAAACCACAGAACTATGCCAAAATTCTAGCGGTTTCAAATTTAGCTCGAGAAGGCTGGTAGGCCTACATCTAAGAGAATGGGTCTGGGTGGTCAGTGTGCGCACTATAGAAAAAATCTGGAAGCCCGTATGGCATTGTGGTAATGCCACCAAAGTGGCTTTGTTCACCATGCCTGGCAGCAAGGAAGCTCTCACTACCCGGGCAAATTTTGACTCTCCTCTTCCCAACTTATAGTTCTAAGACTGATGGAAGTGGATCTGAAGAGATTCTATGGTTCTGAACCATATGGGACAATGGCACCATATCATACAATGGTATCATATGGTACAATGTACAATGTGGTACATTGTACCATATGGTACATTATACCACATGGTACAGGGTACAGGGACCCTAATGGGAATACATCTGTCTGACTTTTTTTGGTTATCCTAGGTCTCCAAACATACTGCTATGTATGATAATCTATGTAACTATTTGTGTATATCTAAATAATCTTACTTATGACGTCTCATGTGCTTGAGCAAGTTTATTCGGGTGTACACAAATACTGTACAGTTACATAGATTATCATACATAGCAGCATATGTATAAAATCTTAGGATAACCCCAAAAAAGTCAGGGTGACTTATTTCCATAGCAATCCCTGTATCTGTACCATATGGTGCCCTGTACCATATGGTAAAATGTACCATATGGTACCCTGCACCATATGGTACCCTGCACTATATGGTACCCTGTACAATATGCTACCCTGCACCATATTGTATTCTGTACCATATGGTACCCTGTACCACATGGCCAGTAGGAGGTGTTGGTGCCATGAGGCACCAGCCAGGACTGAGCGAGTGGGGACACAAGCCCCCCAAGTCATCAGTTTCCAAGACAAAATGCTTCATCATCCACCTCAAGCAACATGTCCACTGGCTGTATATATGTAAAAATATATAATAGATCATTACTAATATACAGCATTTTTTGCATTTTTTGTTGTAAACAATTATTGTTAACGAAATAATGATGAAAATCTTAGTGAGGTTGTGTTGAATACAACAGTACCATATGGTACAATGTACCATATGGTACAATGTACCATATAGTACAATGTACCATATGGTACCATTGCACTATTTGGTACCACTGCACCATTTGGTACCATTGTACAATATGGGAGCATTGTACCATATGGTGCCATTGTACCATATGGTAGCATTGTACCATATGGTGCCACTGTACCATATAGTACCATTGCACCATTTGGTACCAATGTATTATATGGTACCATTGTACCATATGGTACCAGTGTACCATATGGTACAATTGTACCATGTGGTACCATTGTACTATATGGTGCCATTGTACCATATGGTACCATTGTACCATATGGTACCACTGTACTCAACACAACCACATTAATATTTTCATCATTATTCTGTTTACAATAAACTTGTAAACAAGTTTTGTAAGCAATATAATGATAAACAAATTAGTGCAGTTATTGTGTTGAATACAATGAGTATACATTATACATGATATTGGTCTCACAGGCCACAATAGTTACTGGAAAAAAATATTACAAAAAAGAAAAAAGTAACAAAAAACCTAAAAAAAAAGTAATGACATTTTACGGAAGTTGTGGATGTTGCCGCCACCAGGTCATTGAGGGTCAACTTCACTCCTCTATATCTCGGTAACTACTGACAGAAATTTTTTTGTTTTGTTTTATTACCTACAAAAAATTATCTTTAATTCTGTAAGAATTTTTTTTTTTTTTTTCAAAAATTCTTGGACCCTAGTGCACCCTTTGAGATTTGGCCCCTGGACCCTGAAAGGGTTAAAACAAAATAATTTTTTTACATGAAATATAAATGTACATACACAGAAAACAATGAGACATGAAGAATAAAACAATAATAACATGACAATTACCTTTATTGAAGATTCTTCTTAGTGTATGGAAGACAGGAGGAGGGTAGATGATGGAGAAATTACTGTTTGGAAGGGAAATCCCCTTCCATAAAGACTTCAGGTATGAAGTGCTTTTCTGAGGTTACTTCCCATCTTTGTTTTTTAATGCCACTAGGACTAGCTTGAGAGTCACTGCACACCCGTGGCACTAAATATCTGTCTAGAGAGCTCTGTTTCTGGTGTCTCTTTAAAATTTCCTTAAAATGGGACAAGACATTGTCATAGTACATGTTGCAAACACAGCTTACAACAGCTTTGTCAGGGTGATGTTCCTCCATAAACATCTGCACCTCACTCCACACTGCACAAATCTCCTTAATCTTTGAAGAAGGCACCTTCTTCCATCTCTCTCCCTC